TAGCTATGTCCACCTATCTTTTAAGTGTAGACCAGGCCTCAGAAAATTTAAGATGAATTAACTGATGGTGTGAAGTTAATCTTCATAAATTAAATGCATATTAAACTCATGCATGGACACTCTCATTCAGAAATAAAGTGACCTTAATTTGCTGTAGCTTGAAGGAGGTTTAAACTACAGTGAGCTCAGGCTATTGCTGAATAGTGTGTCTACGCATTAATTGATGCACATTGAACTTCACACCATGAGTTAATTAATTTTAATGTACCCAAATGTCCCTGTATAGACAAGCCATAATATGTTTTTAAAGTCTACTATAGGCAGATCAGGTGTGTGAGGTAATATCTTTTATTGGACCAACTTCTGTTGGTGAGAGAGACAAGCGTTCGAGCCACACAGAGCTCCTCTTCAGGCTGGGAAAGGTACTCTGAGCATCATAGCTAAATGCAAGGTGTAACAGATTGTTTAGAATATGTAATTAGCACATATTGTAAGGAACTATTCTAGGTAGAGTATCTGTTAACACCTCTGCAGTCATAGGACAAAAAGAGGGAGATAGGCCATGTCTACACTAGCACTTATGTTGGCAAAACTTTTGTCGCTCTGGTGTGTGAATAAAACACCTCGCTGAGCGAAATAAGTTTTGCCGGCATAAGCGCTCGTGTGCATAGCACTATGTTGGTGGGAGATGCTCTCCCACCGACATAGCTACTGCCGCTCATTGAGCTGGTTTTATTATGTCGATGGGAGAGCTCTCTCCCATCGGCATAACGCGGCTGCATGAGCAATCTTCCAGTGGCACAACTGTATAGGTACAGCTGTGCCACTGTAAGCTTGTAAATGTAGACATGGCCTTAGTGCGTTACAGATTGTTGTAATAAGACATAAATCCAGTGACTCTGTTCAGTGATTTTCAGTGTCTAGCAGAGATTGAATTTAAGCTCCTAGGCTCATCTTTTGAAAGTGTTGTGCAGGTTTCCTTTGAGGATGAGGATTGATAGGTCAGATATAGACTGATGGCTTTGTGAAAAGTGTACACCCACAGGTGATAGTGTTTTTTGTCTTTTATCATTTTCATGTGAGAGTTCATTTGAGAGCATAGTGATAGTCTGGTTTCACCCACATAGTTGTTATTGGGGCATTTAGTGTACTGGATGAGGTATACCACATGTTGTAATAGGCATGTCCAGGATCCATGAATTTTGACAGGTGTGTTGTGGAGTGTGTTGATCATTGTAGCAATGGAGATATGTCTGCAGATTTTGCATCTGTTATTCTATCAAAGTCTGCTGCTGCTTTGAGTTGGTGTGTCCTGGTCTGTGGGAAGCTTGCTTCTAACGATGAGCTTGGAGAGGTTGGGGGGTTGTTCGGGAAATATTTTTTTCAGGATGGGGTCGCCATTGAGTTTGGGTTGTAGTTGTTTGATGATACTCTATATGGGTTCCAGTGTGGGGTGGTAGGTGACAACTAGGGGTGTGTGGTCAGACAGAGTTTTATTTCTGTATTGAAGCAGGTTCTTTCAGGTTGTCTGGGTGGCCTGTTCCATGATTCGATCTACTTCTTTGATGGAGTGTCCTTGTTTGTTGATGGTAGTTTTAAGTGTGTTAAGGTGTATATCCCGGATTTCCTCTACAGAGCATATTCTGTGGTAGCTGAGTGCCTGCTTGTGGATAATAGATTTCTTGGTGTGTTTGGAGTGGTTACTGAATCTCTGAAGGTAAATGTGGTGATATGTGGGTTTCTTGTATATGGTTCTCTGGATTCCATTGTTCTAGATGATTGTCCAGGAAGTTGATGCTAGTGTGGAAGTGTTCCAGAGAGAGTTTAATGGATGAGTGGTGGTTGTTGAAGTTGTGGTAGAAATCTATGAGGGAGTTTAATCTCCAGAGGATGAAAATGTTGTCGATGTAACTCAGGTATATCATTGGTTTAGTGGTGCGTTTGATATGGCTTATTACAACAAACCCACTAACTCCCTCTTTTTGTCATATGACTGGAGAGGTGTTAACGGGCCAGTCTACCTTGAAGAGTCCCTTAAAATATGTGCTAACTACTTATGCTAAACAATCTGTTGCACCTTGCATTTAGTTGTCTCTCTAAACAGACGTTGGCCCAGTAAAAAACATTACCTCACTGACCTTGTCTCTGTGGCACTGACACAGCTACAACTACACTGCATAGTGTAGACAAGGCACTCTGTGTATAACATATGCTAAATCAGTTGAGTTAAAGCCTTCTATCACCTATCACAAGCACTAAAGTCAGTTAACTGGGGGAGTTCTTTTAATGTTTATTTGGAAATCATACTATTCTTCCTTGAGGGCTACAAAATTAAGTAGACCTAACTTACATCGGCATATAGCTGCTGCAGTAATTACATTGCTTGTGCATGTCTACACTTTGCTCCTTGTGTCAGTGGTGCGCATCCTCACCAGAGCGTTTGCACTGATTGAACTGTCAGTGTGGGGCATTGTGGGATAGCTTCTCAATGCCAGCAACAGTCAATGTAAGCAACGCAGTGTCTACACTGACACTGCTTTGACCTAACTATATCGACATTGACTCTACACCTCTTGTGGAGGTGGAGTTATTAAATAGGTGTAGTGGGGCAGTTACATCGGCAGGAGAGAAATTTTAATGTAGACACTTAGAGAGTTAGGTCGATGTAAGTTGCATTGCATCAACCTAACTTTGTAGTGTAGACCAGGGCTAAGAAATGTTACTTTACAGTTGTTAACTGCCTAATTACTGAAAGGGAAGTAAATGACACACTCTTGAAGGTGCTTGTGACAATTCTGTTAATTTCTATCAATGCCTTTCAAATATAGCAAAAATGTTTGAATTAAGATGCAAACAGATATGCTAAGGTAACAGACTAGACCTAAAAATGTATTCTGAGAAGTAATCTGATTACTTTTTGCCTGAAAAGTACACCTATATCCATTTGTTATTTTTATTACCTTTTTGGCAGTCTTTGTTGTTTATGTTCTGAGTAATGGTGTTGAAGTCATAGTATTCAGTATAACCAAAGTTTCACCATGCAATATGTATGAGTAAAACAAAAGGAATCTAAAAACAGTCACTGATCTGTTACTTCCATAAGAGTTTAATAAGTACTATGTAGTGGATTATAATTAGTACACAGTATTCAATCATGTAGATTCCATTTTAAAAGTAACTTTACAATTATTAATTATTATAAAATGCCAGATTTGAATTTGGAATAGTTGCTAGACTGTCATGCAAAATACTTTTCTTATAAGTTAGCATAAAACATTTTATGCACCTTCATGAACACATCATCCCAAATGCTTGAGTCCCTGGGTAGTGCTGTTGAATGAGTTTGAGGGAGATTCACAGATGCTACTTGGATTATATTATTACGCTTTACAAATTCAAAGGGAGAGATTTATTTTTATATAACTTCACAAGAAATGTTTTTTCAGTGATGCATGAAAAGAAAAGCAATGATTAAAAAATCTGTTTTGATTAAGATTAGCATAATAAAATGACAGGCTTTGAAAATTCCAAATTACACTAACTGATTTTTTTTTTTTAAATGGGACCAAATCCGCAGCTGGTGAAGCTAATGGAGCTATACTAATTTATACCACTCAATATTACTGATCTAATACTTAAATATTATACAAAGGACTTCATTTAAAAATGCAATTAAAGTTTTAAAGGTGACTGAAAGTTTTTGTGGATTTTTGTTTTTTATTTTTGCTTTTTAATTTGACCTCTGCCCTATTTTTTGTTTCTTTATGATGTACACATCCTGAAAGGAGAGATGCAGGTATTTTTTCCCCCACTGATTGTCCCTTATTTGGGAAATATCATAAATGAATAGTCTGAACTTTTATGGTTTTGTTAGAAGACCACTAGGGAGTAAAAATGTGATCATTTAATAAGTTAATTAAAGGGACAAGGGTTTTTGAATAATCAAAGAGGACTTCCCCTATTTAAAATGTTAGTCATTTGAATGGATGCTAACAAAAAAGAATGAACAGAAAAAGTTCGGTCTGTCTAAAAATTGCTTCCACCTCTTAGCTTCTGCTCAGCTCAGGGTGGAGAGCAAATATTTGTATACTGTAACAGATGTTCGGGGAATGTCCACACATTAGCTTTTACAAAAGTTTTAACTACCTTAAATTAATTGGCAATCCAAGGTAAGAAGTGTTGTGTAGACAAACCCACATTGTCATCATCTGACTGGTTCTCCACTCATCCTAGGGCCCTAGGCTATGTCAACGCTGCAAAATTTGATGTGAAATCCTTTTGGAGACAAGTGCACAGGTAATGGCTCTCTCAACATAGCTAGTTGAGGTCAATACTTTAACTTCCACATAGTGTGTTGGGAGGTATAAGTTGCACCTTGACTAGCTACATTGAGGTAAAAACTACCTGTACCTTGTCTCCACTAGGATTTTACATCAAGATAGCTAACACAATGTAAAAACATTTCCCCCCCCCCCCAGCAAAGACATATAAAGTCCAGCGTGAATTTATATTGTAAAACACAAGCGTGGGAAAAAAGAGAACCTTTCAGGTCTTCTTTATACATCATGGAGGGACAAAAAAGGATATGACATATATATATATTTTTTTTAACTTTTGAAGGTTACCTTTAAGAACATAAGGATCTGATCTTGCAAACATGTACATACAAGTAACTTTGTAAGCAGTCCTGTTGAACTCAGTGTGAGCACACACATTGGGAAGCAAGTTGCCCAATAAATATTTGTGGGATCAGGCTACAATACATTAGTTCAATAGCTTGGGAGAAGTTTGGTAGGAGGAGGCAGCAGCTGTTGGAAAATAACTGCTGACTCATTTATACTGTCTCTCCCCTATGTCACTTGGGGCTGATTGATTTTCTGGGTCAAAATGCAAAGACTTATCAGCACTTTCAGTATTGTATGTTACTCAGAAAAGTTTCTCTCTGTATTGTCATGAAATGTATGTAACTCATCTCTTTCTCTCTCTCTCTTTTATTGTAGTCTGCAACTGTGTCTGATGGAGGTAAGCTCAAATTTGTTGTCACTTTTATTAGTATTCAGAAAATCAAAGTTCCCACATTAAATAGTGTGGTAAAGTGTGATAAATAAAATGTCATATGACAAGAAGTGTTTGCTTGATAAACATGATGGGCCCATCCTGCAGTCCTTAATGATGCACTGACTTCAGTAGGAATTGTGCCTATGAAAATCCTGAAGGATCAAGCCTAATGTTTACATGTTATATTCCTTTGTTTACTTACATAATTTTTTTGGCATATGCATTTAAATAAATGCATGTTATTACAACTAGAATTCTTCATTTGTGATTTTTTTAAAAAGTTGATCTAGTAGGATATTATTAAATTGGGAACTGATGAAATCTCGCTCTCATTTTTTAAATATCCTTTATGTACTGTATATTCTTTTACCATTGCACTTTTCATCAACAGCATTTCATTTTACATGTTAAAACAAGTTTTTTACTGTTTTGTCTTGCAGAGACTGCTCCTAGCTCATAGGTTAGGTGTGATCTCAGAGCTCTTGTTGAGGCTAAAAGGAGTTTCTTTTTATAACGAAGTAATGCCTTCATTTTAGATAAATAAGATGGCATCCTTAAAAACTGAATAAATGTAACCCAACCTGAAGTTCTTGCTGTTCTGGGATAACTATTGGGTCTGAAGAAGTGGTTTTTTTACCCACGAAAGTTTATGCCCAAATAATTTGTTAGTCTTTAAGGTGCTACCAGATTCCTCGTTGTTTTTGTGGATACAGACTAACATGGCTACCCCTCTGATATTGGGTAGAGTCACAATCTATGCTACATTTTGTGATGAGCCATCAGGAATTGAGAAGAGGCTATCTAACTCTTTCATTTGAGAACTCTGAACCAAAATCCACTATTAAGATTAGCATTGCTACTTGGACCTCCTACTATGCTGGGCTTCAAACAGAGATAAAGAATTGTGTTTAAGTTGAATGGCAGTTCCAGCTAATTAAGGTTCTAATATGGTTTGGCTGGCAAAAGTTTGGTAGAACCTTATTTAAAAACAAAATATTTTTAGCTAAGTTGTAACTAGTGACTGAAGAAATTCAACAATTGCTGTACATTTTTAAAAAAAACAAAAACAAAAATGTGTTCTATGTAGGCGAGAACATACTCTTTTAGCATAGCCCTTGCACCATTTGGATCCATCCATAATAACCAACCAAGTTGTGTTAGAAACCAGTTTAGCTGGAACAGTTTAAATATGATTCCTTAACAGTATACAAGGCCTTTAGTATAGCTTAGTTTACACTACAGGTGGTTTGCTTCTAGAGTTGCCTCACTTGGTCCTGCAAAGGATCAGTCTTGCGTGTATTTTACCCATTTTGGCTTTCTTCAAGTACTGTATAATATATACTGTTTTATTAGGCAAAAGGACGCAAACATCTGTTTAAGAAACAAGCGAACTAAAACGAAAGAAAGATTCTGAAGCTGGAGGAGGGTAGGGTTAGTTGCCTGTTTTTTTATCTAAGTGGAAGAGTAGCAAAATATATTCACAGCAGCTCTCATTATTCATTCCTCCCCTATCTTTCTTTGTCATTTCTTATAAAAAATGAGGCCTGTTTGGGCTTCAGCCAGAAATAAAACCTTAGACTGAGTTGACTGTGTCATTTTGCTTGCAGCTAACTTATCCCATCAGGTATTTTCTCTTCTTCAGCTGTCACCACTGTCACAGCATTTGGATGGAAGGTAGAACATAGTCTGTTTGAAGCCCACCCACCAATTTGCCATGGGATAACAGGGGAAAAGGCAGTGTGCACCTATTCCATCTCTTGTTTCTTAAACAGAGGTTATATCTTCACTGTAAAAAGGTGTGTTTTTACAGTGAGTAGTCTGTCTTGATGGAATATTCTAGCAGAGACAAGACAGGGTTGTTGTTTTTTTTTTTTTACCTCAATGTAGCTAGTCAAGATAAAAGCCCTAGGTGAAAGGTGTAGGGTTGACCCTGGCTGACTATATCGAGATAAAAACTATAATGCCTTGTCTCCACTAAAATTTTACATCCAGTTAGCTCTCTTGAGTTTCCCATCTCAGTGTAAAAACACATCTTTTTATCTGCAATCAAGACATAGCCTAACATGCAGACAGTGTTTCTAGGTTTACTAATCTGAATATTGTACAGACAACTAATTCCACAAGAAATGATTTTTGTGTCCTGAAAGTTTATGTATTATAAATTTGTTGGTCTGAAAAAGATTATCTGCTTGTCTACAATGAAAAGTATTTCTCCTTCATGGCAAGTCTAATCTCCATTGGCTGAGGAAATGGGAACCCTGAAGTAGCACTCCCTTGATAGTAACATCAAGCACAGTGTACTTCCATTTGTCAGTTTTATTAGAGATCTCTGGCTTGTCATGTTCCGCTCCTCCAGTATTGTTACTGAAGTTATTTTCAAGTCTAGGGATAATTGTATTTTCACAATTAATACTGTAGAATTTGGTGGAGTCGTGAAGTCTGAGGGCTGTGTAGGTTGCAGAGGTAAAAGAACAGATTGTAACTTGCACTCAGTATTCTGTTCTATATCCTAGTATTTTATCTGTCTTGTCAGTTAGTGCTGAAGATTTAACACCATACACTCTCTCAATTTTTAAGGTACCAGTGGGTCCTAAGTTCTGTACAAAGCTATAAAATGTAGACTATGTGAAGAATAATATTTAATAAATGCTTAACTATATAGAAGATAAACTGGAAAAATAAGATCCAAGAGAAGGGAGTGAAACCAGAAAAACTGAATAGAAATAAAATCTTAACTAATTTCAGCTATAGCTTCACTAGGTATAATGTTCTGATTAATGTCTATACGACAATTTCAGACTTTTACTTTCTTTGAAAATGTCACCGCAATGATTTTTTTCTATTTTTTTTTATTTCAGCACTTCATTAGAAGACCCGCAGAATTACGTATTTTCAGGCTTGTCTAGGTTAGAGGAATTTGGTCCAGTGTAACAGCATTAATATAGTTACACAATGCAAATTTCCCTTACCTATACAAACAATTTATGTTAGTATGTCCACTTGTAAAAATAACTATGTGTATTTAAATCTATCCTTGCAGAACAGGGGGCACAGCAACTTTTTTTCTCTCAAATCACTAGTGCCTCATGTTATGTAAAAGCTTTACATTAGAGTCTGGCTTTGGATGCTGATTGCTCAAAGCCATATTCAGTCAGATTGTGTACTAACTCCAAATGTGCACGTTTGGGTTGTCACCACCAAAATAAAAAGGTATATATTCCCACTGGCCAACATTTTCAGATTTGGACACCTTCAGTTATGTACCCGAATCCAGATTGAGACAAATTAAATAAATGGCTTGATTTTCAGAAGTGCTATGCAGCCACTGCACTCATTTAAGTCAGTAGGATTTGATAGGGTTTGAGCACCTCCTAAAATCAAGCCACTTATTTAGGTGCCTAACTTAAGACACCCAAGTTTGAAAATGTTGTCATTTTCTTCAGTGGGTGGGAGGAAAAAGATCATTATGGGGAAATTATAGTAAGTACATTTCCCTTGAAGTTTTAATAGATATTTGAAAATAAGTCTTACAGGCTGTCACTGAAGGAAGGCTAAACCTATAACCTCTCTTCCTCCTGTATTTCCTCTCCTTCATCCCTCTGCCCTCAACTGACCAGCTGCCCTTTGTACAAGGTGAAGAGTTCTTCTAAATCTAACCTACTTGAAGCTGAATTTTGAGCTCTTAACAAACTCACAGTTCACACACCAAATTCTGTCCTCAGGGCAATAAAAATACCAACTTTGTGAGGGTTCAAAAAACTGGCTCAGTTTTTCTTGTGTGTATGTCATTGGGGAAATATTAAGGGCAGTAGCCTATCAGAACAGAGGGATTTGCATAACCGGTGTGGAGTTATTCAGGAATAATTGTACATATACTACTCTCTTCAGATGGACTAATGGTGATCAGCTAAAGAACAGGGATTTGCTTACTGAATAATAACTGAGAAATAAACAATAACATCTGATTTACATAATGACTCACAATTAGTGTGACCAGATGTCCCGATTTTATAGGGACAATCCTGATTTTTGGGGCTTTTTCTTATATAGGCACCTATTACCACCCACCTCTTGTCACTATTTTTCACACTTGCTATCTAGTCACCCTACTCACAGCCAGTCAAAATGCAGAAAATCATAAAATTGAGAAACGAGGTTATTGGTGCGGATCAGTAACTATACTGTGCCTTTGCCCTGGGATCTGCAGAAACCATTTTATTTCACTATCATTTCTTGTAATTCTTGTTCTCTGAGGCTGTCTCTACAATAGCCTTTTCTCCCCACACTTCCAACTATTGGTACCATTGGTACAGTGGGCGCACTAGCATCAATAGAGTGCAGGTTTGCTGGTGTTTCAAACATTGTGCCATTTAGGCCAACTCAGAGAGACAGTAGTTAAAATGCCAGATGTCTTCACTCCACTCTTACCATTGCTATCACTGATGGAATTTCACAAGGGGGAAATTTTAAGCATAATATAGTGTTGACAAGATCAGTGGGTATACATTTACAGTATATCAGCACTCATCCACCTGGCCTTCCTTCTCAGAGATGTGGGCATTTATTGGTCACTGAAATACCCAGACAGTAGGTGAGGTAATTTAACACTTCAGAATTTTGAAGTATGTAATTTCTGACCTGTCACCCTGCCCCCCCTCAGATTGGTTCCACAAAGTGAGTGTCTATTATTACTTTCAAAGAATAGTAATTGCATGTATGTGAATGTTTAAGCTCTACATTTTGAGCTCTTCTAAAGCATTTCACTGTAATTGCTGCTGCTTGTGGATGCTGCTTTGTTGTTCTCATCACCAGAACTAGTTTATTTTTTCATTAGTAATCTGTTTGGAAAGCTTAGAATGTTTACAACTGCAAAATAATATAGAACGACATTTTAAAAACACAACCACAGAAGATGCAATAAAAATGTGACAATTCTAAAAAAAAAAAAATAGATAAGAATAGTG